TAACACAGTGGGACAGCGCGTCGGGACAGAGCGTCGGGGCAGAGCGTCGGGGCAGCGTGTCGGGACAGCGCGTCGGGGCAGAGCGTCGGGGCAGCGCGTCGGGGCAGCGCGTCGGGGCAGAGCGTCGGGGCAGCGCGTCGGGGCAGAGCGTCGGGGCAGCGCGTCGGGGCAGAGCGTCAGGACAGAGCGTCAGGGCAGCGCGTCGAGCCAAACAGCTGGCAGGATTTTAGAAGGCTTTCCATCCTTGGTCTCTTTGGTCCAGCTTGTGTTTTCTTCACGGCTTTTCCACCCACCTCGCCTGAGGCTCTTTCGCGGATGTGAAGCACATTTTTCTATTACTTTGTTACATAACACTTTGTTCTGAGATCCGCGATACACACACGTGGCAATTAGGTAACATGCAGCAATGATCTGACAACAGATCAGTCCAGAAAACTGAACTCTTTGTATTTCTCAAAGTTTATGAACAAAGCTTATACGCTGTACGCACGTACATTTAGAGGTACACTATTGTCTATTTGCCGTCTTGTCCTTAAACTGAAATTCTGTTAAGACCGGCTTTAAATGGTGGTGTGTGGTTCAGTGGATTAGAGGGCTGTGTCTGTGATCAGAAGGTTGCTGGTTTGAATCCCATGGCCAGCAGGATAATCGCACCATAGGTTCCCTCAGCACGGCCTCTAACCTCAAATTGCTCCAGGGACCCTGCCTTCTTGATGATATGTTGCATTAGATAAAAAATAATAAAAATCCCAGAAGCAGATATTAATGTGCTCAGGAGGAGTTTTCACAGCAATCTGTGTTAGCAACAAGGGTACCTGGATTAAGTTTATTTTAATATTGACACTGGTTTTGCACAGGAATTTCTTAACATTTTCACCCTTCTGCGTGAAAACAGAGTCTCCCCTTCAACATACCGTAACAGCGCCATCTGCTGACCGCCACATCGGATGTCACACATATAGGCACATGACGGAGCATGCACACAGCCAGGACGATATTGCCAGCTGACTCACACCTCATTTTCACCGCAGCGTCAACCCCGCTTGAGTTTTGAAGCCGGACCAATAGCGGCAAATCGGATCTGCGCAGAGTGTGGCTGCAAATCGTGGATTTCAATCCCGGCATTTCAGAGAAGAGACATATAAGCTTCAAACACCTGAACTCTGGTTTTAAGGGGTCGCAGCTAAGGATCTATCAAAGAGCTGCATCCAGTTACCATCTTCATCGAAATGCACCGCAAATTGGCAACGCAGTGGAATCGAGGCGTCAAATTTGGCAGCCCTGTAGGCGCCATGGTCCCATCAGTGCGTCTGACAGCGCCGTCAGAGGAGATTAAGGAAGTGCGTCCACATTAAACTGATGTCGGACTCTTTTAAGGTTGCATCTGTCACCTTTGGGGAAAAAGGACATCACTCGCAAAGTGGAACTGGTGTGACGTCTCTGAGCGCGCCGCGTAAACATTTCACATTTACTGTGGGTATCGTCCAAAGCGCAGCAAAAAAAAACTGGAATGACTTAAAAACCTCCTGAAAAAAATTTGAACGATGATAACATGGCAGGATTAGGAAAATATCTAGATAATAAAAGGAAGCACCTGTAGCAGTATTTTTTTTTCTTTTAAAGAATACGTCACTGAAACACACTGGAAAAACATGTCCTTTCAGATTCAGATTCAGGACAGATGCACATATTCCAGTGGTTTGTAACCAAAAGGTTGCAGTGACGTCTCAGCAGTGAGAGCCCTTACAGTTGTATATGTAGAAATGCTATTAAGCTGGATTCTTCCAGTGAAATATCAAGCTGTAAAAAATTATTAGTGTTTTTGGATTAAAAGGGTGACCCAATGAATTAAATGTAAACTTAAAAAAAGAATACAAATTCAAAAGACCAGGAAAAGATGTAAACTTAGGTAGTTTAAGCAAAGGTCTACCTGACATTTTTAAACCCTGGAGGTGAGACCCCCAACAATGACGACCTTAACCCCCACCCAGCCCTAACCTTAACCATAAGTAACTAAACAGAATACAAGTTTTTTGGTATTTTTAGTTTTCTGATTGCAGTCACAGATTTTTAGAAAAATTTGTCAAATATATCATGTTGTGTGGACATTTGGTCCCCACAAGGTAAGGTATATGTGGATCACGCACGCACACACACACACAAGATAAATTACCCCTTCCCCCCCCCGAACCCCAAGCTTGTTTATACAGTATACTGGCAGTAATCCATTGATGAATCAGCATCAGCAGGTTTGTGTGTCACAGACACTTCTTATTCTCATTCTCATGCACTATGTTTGATTTTACTGCAGCTCTTAATAAGCGTATAAAATTACAATGACGAACTCAGCAGAAGAGCAGGACTGAATGATGACTGTTGTCTTGGGTTTCCATCATCCAACTGGCTTACAGGACATATTCTGGAGCACCAATCACACCAGTGGCTGATATTATCAATGGAAAAATTAGAGTTTTGACCCACGGCTTTGATCAAAGCATTAGATTGTCTACTCATTAGTACTTAGTTTAACTCAATACATCAATAACGGAACCATTAAGCAGTGGGTTAAAGCAGACTGTGATTACTAGTATTAGGTATCCTCTCTCTGCGGGTTTGGAAACCTATTTGTAGGTAAAAATGACAGCTGGGCTATTGTACCCTGGGAAAAGAAACTATCCAGAATCAATAGATGATCTTTTGATAAATCGAGCGATTGTCAATGTATACATTTCCGAAATATATAGAAATACATTTAATTAAATTACTTCCCAAAAAAACATCTGACTCCAATTTGAATATGATACGTTTCCTCCCCAGCACAGTAGGGACATCAGACTATAATGAGATACTTGTTTGAGTTGATTTTAAAATTGCAATATTACATGAGTCAACCAGAGGTCAGAAACAAACTGCAACATTTACATCAGACACATGAATCCTTGAGAAACTCATCTTGGTGTGAGCACACTCCTTGAGCCTTACAATGGGTCTGACCTTCAGAAAATGGCATTTGGTTCTGTAGATAGACATGGAAGAGGATCACATTCCCTGTTATACCAAGAACCGAGGACAAAAATGTGCACATCTTAATGTAGCTTGATTGTAGGCATTTACAGGGCGGCACACTGGTGCAGTGGTAAGCACAGTCACTGCACACCTCTGAGACCTGGGGTTTGAATCTCCGCCATGGCACCATATGTGTGGAGTTTGCATGTTCTCCCTGTATCAGCATGGGGTTTCCTGTTGGTACTGCAATGTGCATGCTGAGGTTCACTGGACTTAGCAAATGAACTGATATGTGAAATACAGTCATGCAGAGTGTGTCCTGCAGTGGATTGGTGCCCCTTCCTGGGTTATTCTCTGCCTTGCACCCATAGGCTCCAGACCCCCCACAATAGGACAAGCAGTTACAAAGAACAGATGGATGGAAATATGCATTTAAAAATCAAAAAGGCAAATTTTAGGGATATTCAAGAGTTTTCCCTTAGCCAGCGATTTTGTCAAAGTTTAGTCTCCTTTTACTATCTAACAGCCTCACGTATGGACTTCTGAAATGACACCGGTGGTCCTAAAGCTAATGACATGCTTATGTCTAAACCCTAGGAGGATATGAACTGTTTCAGGTTGATAGGTACTGGTTAGTCGAAATGGGCAGCAATGAGCAGACCAGTAATGAAACATTCTGAGTAACCCCAGTACCACCATATACAGGCATGCTGGTCTAAGAAGGTGGCCACAACTATTATTATTAAGGCCAAGAAGGAGTGTTGTGCGAATGAATCCTTTACTAGGGACTTTGTAGGAGAGCTCATGGGATTGTGGTATTTTTGGACATCTTGTCGTTTAACGGTGGATGCGTGTGGTGAAATAAGAACAAGGGTGGAGGGAAGAGGCGAAGATTAGATCACACCTCCTGATATGTAAGCCACCTGCCATTGGAAGAGAGTGCGATGCATCCACTGCCCTGTGGGAGCCCGGGGAGTGGCAGAAGTCACTGTGGAGAGATGGGAGGCAGAGAAACCCAGCCGCCTGACACACCCACAAGAATCCAGGCTAATCCACACTGTCCCAGCCTCCTCATCGCAGATGGCTAATGCAGCACAACAGGAAATAAACTGAATCTCCACTCTAGGTGTTATCTGCTTTGACCAAATACTACGTAAAAGTACCCACAACCCTGAACAGGATAAGCGGTTACAGAAATTGATGGATGGATGGATGGATGGATGGATGGGTGGGTCTATGAGCTGGGGGGTCTCAATAAGAAAGCTTCAAATTTGCCCATTGAACAGCAGGTGAATTTTGACCAGTCACTACCATTATTGATATGTAAAGTGGGAGATGTTTCACACTTTAAGGTGTGAACATTCGTGCTCCAGTTTTTTTAAAGTCCTCTCTCATGCAAAACCCACCCGACAATAGATTATCAGTACACTGTAATGTTGGAATATGCCTTTTAAATTTTTTCACCAACATTTTATTCTCGCGTAACGCTAAAAATGTAAGGATTTCACACAAGTTTTATGACAAATTCTTACTGCAGCTTTAGTGTTACATAGTTGCCAAGGCATTATAATTTATTAATCTCCGATGCTACTGTCATCAATTAATATTTATTATTATTAATAGTGATTAATATATCATCGACACCCGTTCCTCTAAGAATATAGATATAAGAATATAGGTCGGAAATTAATCAATGTCTTTTACTGCTATCTAGTGGTGACTGCTGAAAATATTGTTATACTACATAAACGGTTTTCAGTTCAACTGAAGGAGAAACCAAATCTAATTTTTAGATTGTATTTTCTTCTCTTTTGTATGTTTTAATAACAAAAAAAAAAGGTAAAACCCTAAGTACACATCGTACATTTATTGATAGCACCAAATACGTTTATGTTATACTGGCATTTTCTTTGCTACATACCATTGAAATTATTCCAAGTGAAAAATTAATACATCTGATTTCTTGAAAAGGATACAGGCATTCGCGCCGAACAGCTATATTTCGTCGCAGGACCCTGAAGGGTAAAGATGGCTGCCCCCAAAGAGCTCGCCGGGGAGTTTGAAACCTGGTTAAATAGTCGTTTAGATGAGTTGGAAGTCGACTGTGATGTTTATGCAGTTTATATTCTTGGTGTTCTTCAGGAGGAAGAGAGTGATGATGAGAAATTAGATGCTCTTGGAGGTATTCTGTCCGCGTTTCTGGTAATTATTTCCCTGTCTGTTCATTGTCCGCGTGGATGCATGAAACCGTGAATTCCTTTATTCTCCTTATTTTTCGAGCTTTTTATGATTGTCATGTTAGTCCTGACAAATGTGGATAAAAGTATCACGAGAAGTACGCTACTGAATGTAACATTACGCAGCAATTACCGATCCAATGTGATTCCGTCTAGTTGTTTTTGTAGCTAACCTGAAAACTGCGGTCGTTCTATAGTAAAACAGAAACACTACAGGTGAGCAGCAATTACCGATCCTATTCTATTCCGTCTAGTTGTTTTTGTAGCTACCCTGAAAGCTGCGCTCGTTCTGTAGTAAGATAGAAATTCTTCTAACAAACAGGTGAAATAATTTAAAACGTATAAAAGCATAAGCAGGCAGAGCGTTTGCGTTTGACATTTTCGATATTCTGTCTCATTTTACCAACTTTACTTAAAAAAAACAATTAATGACTCTTAACGATACTTGGCTACAGGTCTTGTTAGTTAAAACGCAGTATTTGTTTTCATTTGTTCATTAAAAGGCGATCATTTGACCTGCTGTCATATGAAAGGCTATATTTGGGCGAAAGAACAGCTGGGGGGGGGCGGCAGCCTGTGGTTGGTCTGCTGGTTATTATTAACTCACTGCTACGAGGGAATAATTTAGCCATAATTTAGTTGCAAGAGGCGCGTTTCTTTTTTCAATTAATAGTATCTTCGCTCTGGTCAGATTCATCCAATATGTATTCTTTCATGTGGTGTTTAAAAATATTTTCAATGAACAGAATCTATTTCTGTACTTGCCAGGAGATGTTTGCGTTTTGGAGATTGATTCGTGTATTTCTAAAGTGTCCTTTCCTAATTGTATTTTAGGATGAAAATTCGCTGGAGGACGTATGCAGAGAAATAATCAAGCAGTGGACGGACAGCTGTGCTTTATTAGCTGCCAAAAACTGCCAGACAGATGGTATGAGACACTGAAATCAAGTATATCTTATGTAATATGCCCATGTAATGCTATACATTCAGCTGAGGAACAAGTTCTACTAGTGAGGGGTGGTGGGGACCACTGTGTTATGATCAGGGAGGAGACATGGAGTATTTTATCTTCGGTGGTGTAAACAGGATTGGGTAGTAAGATCTCCAATGAAGGACATGCCTTGAAGATTTTAAATGAAACCTGGTGACAGTCGCTGTCTTTATCTCTTTGTAGATGAGGTGCAAGCCATCGCCAACTTGATTGAAAAACAGGCGCAAATTGTTGTGAAACAGAAGGAAAAGGCTGAGGATGACAAAAAGAGCAAAGAGTCCGTCCTTGCTCAGTATGCCAATGTAACAGATGATGATGAATATCCTTTGATGTCCCAAACACCGTAAATTGGAAAATAATTCATACATTTGTGGCGTCACGTTTTTCTAAAAAATATAGCTGTCATTTTCATCCTCCATAAGTTGTATTGATCTGAATGAATAATCTTTATTTCTAAAGGTTAATATACAATTTCTTATGCATTTCCTTTTTTAAGGGAGACTGAATGAGTATTCTGAGTCTAGTTCTCTGTTTAAAGATCTAAAGTCACTTTATCATTGGAGAAGATTATTACAAATGCTGTTGCGATTTTCAATTCTGTTACTCGAGACCCACTGAAAATAGTTAATCTATAAGCAGTATGTTAAGGAAGCTCATACAAAAAGATGGGAATCCTTGTCCGACAAATGTGAAGCACCTTTTTTAAACTGTCATTGGTTTTTAACATGTAAAGTTACTCTTCAGAAAACAGGGCTTTTCCTTGACACTGACACTGAAGATGTTGAAGAAGATCAGACTGGAGCAGCTTGTACATTTAACAGTGAGAAATGTATCCTTTTATTATTAGAATTAATGTATTTGGCCACTTCCTTACAAGCTACATTTAATAATTTGAAATGTATCAAATATATAATACAAAATATTATACCACAAGAGGAATGTGGTGCATTGTTATTTAATCCAGATCGCAGGTTTTTCAGATCATTGCAGAGCTGACCGAAGAGTGAAGCAAATTTGATTACAAGAGTCATAGGTTGAGTAAATGTCTAAAGTGGTCAGCTAGAAGCCTGCATGTAAACCAGCCTTCAGGGATACCAACGCTTGCCCCCTAGTTGCCAGGAGGTCAATGAAAAAACCTTCACATAAGCCATGGGAACTGTACTTTTTCTGCATCATTAGGTTTTTTTTTTTCCCACGTTCTTATGAAATATTCTTTCATGGAACACGTCAGCTCTATTTAAAAACACCAACGTGGAAGACGTTCTGCTGAACAAGAAGCTGCAGAGAGACCAGGCTCGTGTGGACTCGCAGAAGAAGAAGGAACAGGACAAGATGCAGCGGGAAAAGGACAAGCTTACCAAACAGGAGAGGAAGGAAAAGGAGAAAAAACGCACACAGAAAGGGGAGCGTAAAAGATAGATATTGCATTATTGGACATATTGTAGAATATTCCCATTTTTCCCCTTGAGAGTGCAAGTTATATTAACTAAGAAGTATGTGAAGATTGCAAGATGACATTCATGCATTTTAAGTCATTGAATATTTCTATGGACATTAAGTAGAACTGAGAGAATACATTTTGTAATTGGAAATTTCTAATCTAAAATGAGTATAATGTTCTGCTTTGTTCCTTTGAATATTAAGTCATCCATATTAAAGCCCATCAATAATGGTCGGTTGCTGTAAATACTGCACAAATAGAAACAACTTATCACAGTGGTTTACGGTGAAGTATTAGGCTGTGTTTGGACCCTCATTTATCTATTGTTCAAGAGTTAAAGTGCACGAAATCTGTGGTCAGATTTTAGCTGCCAGCCTTTCTTGAATACCAGTATAGTTTAATATCACTGCATTTATTCAAACATAGTCACTAACTAGAATTGGTCCTAAAGAATAATCTTCTACCCTGTTACCATTGTCTAGATTGCTATGCTATTCAGCACCAAGGTATTATCTTGGCATTGTTGAATTGATATTCCAAGATTTCTTTTTGTGTTGTTCTTCAGTTACATGATCATTTTGCTCTTTTGATCATTTGATAACGTAATTTGAATATATCATGCTGCTTTCACTCGCTGATGACAAAATCAGATTTAAAATGAAAGATTTTAATAGTTCAATGCAAAGGTGTCATATATTGAATTTCAAAATTGGAAGGCAATGAATAACTTGATCCCCTTTAATTATTACACCTTACTTCTAATCTGGCTGCCCGGAACACTTTCATGCTTGTTCTGAAGAGGGAGGTAGCTGTTTGAGGCTGATTCATAACCTCACAAATGCCAGTGACATTAGTGGTAACATTAGGATGACTAGATAATTCTAAAACTGAATGGCTTCTGTACTTTTAAGTGACCTGTCACAGTGATTTTTTTTTTATAGTATTGGCTTACTTTAAGCCAGGAGTCAGTTGAACATATTTACTGTGGCATAAGATTGTTACAGGCCTCAACTTTCTAGGCTGCAGTCCACGTTAATTCTTCCACACAAGCTGAATGCTGCTATTAGAGACTTTTATACATAGCACATTTTTGCAGACAATGTCCAAAAATACATATCATGTATGCTTTTTACTTAACATACAGGTTTACTGGGTGATGCTAGACAAATTTGAAAAAACTTATAAGGGTGGGACATTTATAGCATTTTTCTTTGTTCCGAATGAAGCATGTTATTAGAAAAAGGATCCCATATTCATTGTATGACAGTTATTACAAGTCATAAGGCAGAGAACTCTTGTATATGTTTTAAGATTGTCACAAAAAACCTTAATGTCTCACCTGTATTCAATAACTGTTCTAAATTATGAGTATGACAATGGCTAGAATATTTTAGTAGCCATTAAATAATTTATAACTGAATTTTTTATTTGTGAATTTTAAATAAAATGTGTTTTCAATCAAATCATTAAAGGTTATTTTATTTCTATTAGCATCCTCACCTACATACAAATGTTTTTTTTAACACAAAATCCAGCATTTGAACAAATATATTTTTAACAATATGTACTTCATTCACAGTAGTAATAAATTAACCATGTAAATAAATTGTAACTTTGCAAAAATCAAAAGGCATAAATTTAAGATTTAATTCTAACAGGGTTCAACTTTCTGTCATAGTAATTTTAAAAAATCAAATACGATCCTTTGGAATACCACAAAGTCTCCCTTTCATTTTATTAATTGTGAATAAATATTATCTTTAGGGTAAGTATGATGGATAAGCAAATTTTAACACAAATCATTATAACTGTTAAAACATGAGAAAAATCACTTGAAAATATGCACTTTTTTCTAAAATGCTGCTGAATTCTTAATGGAAATCTGTATTTAATAAATTCTAGATCCTAATCGTCAGTGTTTTCAATCTCAGTTATGATATACTGGTCAATTCATATCAATGGGGTGTGTTTGGCTGTTTCAAGATTACTTTTCTCATAGATTACATTAATTACATTGTCAAAAATGTATTAAGGGCTAGTTAGTTTTTATATTAAGAGGTGTCCTATGGATGGATAGTAGTGGAAATTATTGAATTGTCTACATGCATAACCAAAACTCCTTATGTCTTGGAAGCCTGCAAGGCTATAATTGTCAATAGTTTGGTATAAGCATGCACTGATCATGAACTAGCTTATGCATAAAATTATTCAGAGGTGCACTTTATGTAGATTGTATATTTAAAAAGCACATATACAATTGTAATAGTCAGAGTTTTGGACAACCCCAAATTCATATTCAACTGTTCAAAAGACCTAGCTACATAGGCAAATTGATATTTTCAAAAAGCTGCAATAACTTCTAATTTGTCCAACATCAACTGGAAGTCTTTCAGGTGGGGATTCCTTTCTGCTCGTCCACCTTATGTTCAACTTGCGGCGATGTCATCTGCAGTGCACACCAAAGGGCAGTGCGAGTCCTCCTTGTGGTCACACACAGGTCCTTTACTGCAGCAGCCAGTAGTAAAATGACTAGTAAAAATAGGTCAATATCATACATAGTCAGCTATGGAAAGCTATCAGTAAGAAATGGATTGCACCTTGTTAATAATTAATGATACAGCAGTGGAAAATTAAAACTTAATGACAAATGATGTAAAAAAAACATGTTTGATAACAACCACGAAACCTTTAAAGGTTAAAAATCAAACATCTATTTGTTGAAGTAAATTTAATCAAAAATTACCTCTATCTTCTTTAATGTAAGTACCTCCTTGTCTCTGTCGGTTTGATGTACTGATATATTCATCTGTACGTCGTGCCTGTGTATTGTAAATAACTTCAAGGTGTCTGTCCAGTGCTGAGCGAATATTTGCATGGAGAGGGACGCCTCGCAGACATTCCATTTTCCCAAAAAGAGCCACAACCTAAAATTTTAATCAATCAGTGTTGTTCTGTGTGTACATATTTACACATTGACAGTTAATATCTGTTTTCATAACTGCCATACTTATTTTAATAATACTTCAAAATACAAACAGGTTTTGATGTCAGAAAATTAAAAAAAAAAAAAAAAAAATACAGTGCTCACCCGTGCTTGCTCACGTAATTGGTCCACAATTAGCCGATCTACTCTGGAGGGATTTTGTGGGACTTTTGGAATGGGACTGCTGCTCACTGTTGATATCCTCTTACCAGGAAAACTTTTTGTAAGAATGTTCTCAATCTATTGAACAGAATGAAAATATATATATATATTTTGAAGTATATGTATTTACCTACTACATTCACTAAATGGCACGTTACCTTTTTCCTTTCTTTTTCCAGTGATCTCCATTGCTCATAACATTCCTCAAGATAAAGGTGAAGCTGACTTGTGGGTCCACAACGGCTCTTTGTGAGACTCGGGACTCCCATCACACATGCAGCAGCAGAGAGCGGATTCTCTGTGCTCATCATGTCACGGAGGCAAGCGTTAAGTGTTGAGAGTTCGTTGTCTGGCAACAAGTTGCAAAGATCCATAGGACGCACATAGGAGCTGCAGTGCGGGAATGTGGATCTGGGAGAAAAACTTCCAGTGTTGCAGTGCACTGGCCATGGGTTCTGCCTGTCACCCACTAAGTGCATGTATGGGAAAAAGGGGGCTGGCTGGGTCTTTTCCCCAATGTTTGCATTTCTTCCAATTGACCTACATGAACCATGCACATTCCCCAAGAAGTCAAGGTATGCATTCTGAAGCAGCTCTTGCTTCTTGACCCTTTCTCCATGATTGCTATTTTGTGGTTTCATATTCTCCTTAATTTTCTGAAGTGAGTGCACCTTTTTCATAAGGTTGCCAGCCAAGGGAGAGTCATCCAGATCCTGGTCAAACTCACTATCATCACCTGCCTTTTGCAGCTCTTCCAAATTCAGCATCACCTGATTCTGAGCTGCTTGATTATAAGGGTTTTGGCCATCACCCAGACTGTAATCCTGGGGGCGAGATGTTTTTCTTTGCATCTGCTGAAAATTCTGTGGAACAAAATCTGAAATGGGGAATGAAAGCCTTTTAGAATACTCTGGCAAACCAGGATTTTTTGTTTTTTTGGCTTGATTCTGGTACTGGCTTAATTGATGATGAACATACTGATTAAGATTTGGTGAGAAATTGTTAGTGTTCTCAATGGAATGTTTGCTCCGGAAAGGTGCCAACGGATTGAAATCTGCTGATGAAGATTTCAGCTGCAGGAATGTCTGCTGTTGACTAATTTCTGAAAAATCCTTAGGCCAATAAGTACTTGGTGGGGTAGGCGTCTTGATTGCATGGTCAGATGGCCTTGGTCCTTCAAAACCTGCCAATACTTCCTTTTTAAATTGTCCTGTTTGACTTTCAAGAGACTGCATTCTAGAAAAAGTGTGCTGGTCAGAGGCATGGTGCTCGAAATGCTCATTGTCCTCCCCTTCTTGCATCATAACTTGCATATTCCCATTTGGTTTCAGTTGATTTTGATTTGAATAATCTGAGTAGAAGCTTAAAAAATTATCATTCTCTGTGTTTACCAAGCACCCAGAAGGTGATGTTCTAATTGTGTGGTTAAGAAAGGGGGTTATACTATGTAATTTTTCATCATGTACAGCTCCATTGAAATCACATTTGCCAGATTTTGTCTTTGACAGAAAGCAGTTTCCACTAGACATTGTCTGCACATCTTGAACCTGCAATAAACATGTATCAGTATCACTGCTGCTTGTACAAAGAAGCCTTTGATCACTGATATCTAAATCAGTGAAACCCTGATGAAGCTCAGCTTCCTGTTGAAAATCTGTGTTCTGAAGTTGCCTTTGCCTGATTAATGGACCAGGATACATTTGCAAATTAGATGAAACTGCCTGAATGTCTGGTTCCGACTGGAAGTACTGCTGAATGTCTTCCTTCCCCGAGTTGAGGGACCAGACTGATTTTACATTGGATGACATCCTGCAAGGACATATTTAACAATTAGACTGTGAACTGTCATGGCGAGTATGGATTGAAGGGCATACATAACTGATAACATACCAGGTCAATGTCAATGTTTTGAATAATAGTCAGCTAATTTTGTAATCATAGCTAAAGACAAAAGTAAAAAAAAATGGCTATCCATAAGGAAATAAAGAGAACCCACTTTTTCACGCATTGCTGTTACTCATAGATACACACATTTACTCCATCACCAACTGACCTGAAGGGCATGCGTCTGGATGTGTTTAATAAAAATACCCAGAGGATTCAAACCCACAACAACAATGGCTGCTATTCACGAAATGTTCCATGTATATGAATTTGTGATTCCCCCCCCCCCATCATAAAATGCCACTACCTAGGAGGGAGTGCCATCATTCTTTAACATAGTAACAATGAATAAACTTATGATGAGATGGCAAACACAGCAGTAACCATATTATCCTGTCCTGCAATGGTTTTGGAATGTATTTGGAATTTTTGCAAAATGTGTCTCTCAACTGCAGGAGTCAATACAAAATAAATATTTATATACAAGCTACTAACTCATCTGCAAAGTAGCTATCCATGTGATCACTCTCTTCCAAGATATCTGATACTAATCCATATAGATCAGATGTACTTCCACATTCATTTCCATCTGCAGAATTCCTTGAAAAGAGAAAAGCAAAGAAAATATAAGACCAACGAGTAGATAAAGTATCTTTTAATATACCAAACCATAACAATTTAACAGATTCAGTAGACACTATCCTCCGCATGGTGTGTGAGCAGTTAAGAGGGGTCCTACACACTTTCCATTTTAAAATCCCATACTTTTCAGACTGTGGGGTAGTGGTTTCCAACCAATGAGAACTACTTTTACAAAGAAAATATTCTGGGAAGATAAGTTATTATTTTACAGCCTATTCATTTTCAGGGTCTCCTTGTTGTGATCGACTGGGTGCATCTCAAAGATCAGCTAGTGGGCAACCACTGCTGTAGGGGGACATGGGAGGTGCGGGGAGTAAAAGTTGTTGGGTGGGTGTGGTGATACAAACAGCTGTCAGTGTGTGTGTGTGGGGGGGGGGATTAATGATCGGGGTTGGCACTGGCGGTTTGTTAAGTTGCCTCCTCCCTGAAGATGCCACCCTGCCAAATTGTGCTTCTGGCCCTTGCCAGGATCTGCCACTGGAAGTGACAGCAATACTTCTGTCCGCCATGTGGCTAGCAACTCATGTTTGAAATGTCAAACAACTTTAATACTTTACATACCACTTTCCACTCATATTTAGGATCCATAGCCAACCAATTACAATATTTGGGATTGCCAAGCCAAGCAAGTGAAAACTTGCATTTCCCCATCACGAGCACTGCAAATTGCAAGGTAGCTTACACCAATATTTCTTGCTAGAGATTAATGTAGCGCACACCCCACCGACACACCCCCATTCCTTGGTTTGGCATGTTGCTCCGCAATGTGTGCCCTGTGCACATTCTGGCACT